AGAGAGCGTTGACAGAGAGGAGAAGGTAGAAATGACTCAGCCTGTAACTGAAAATATGGATGGAGGACAACAGAGCTGCTTCATGGAAGAAAATATATTACATGGCCATGTAATATATTTTTAAACTTTTAGTTTAAAAATGATAAAAACTAAACATCCTACAGTATTTTTACAGTCTTTATTTTACAGTTAAAAATATGTTTGTCAAATAAAGTCTAACGTTACAACTAATCGGGGATCCCGTTAACTGAAGGAGCTGCTCAGCTTCCCACCCCCGGTTTCATGCAGAGGGTGGTGGGGATTGTCCATGATGACTGTCAAATTTGCCAACATCCTCCTCTCACCCACCACTACCACAGGCTCCAGAGGACGTCCCAGCACAGAGCTTGAGCTCCGTTTGTCGATCTTGTTCCTGTCCCCKCAGCAGACCACTCCATAGAAAAGGGCAGATGCTACCACTGTGTCGTAGAATGTCTTTAACAGAGTCCTGCAGACACCAAAGGACCTCAGCCTCCTCAGTAGGTGGAGTCGACTCTGGCCCTTCTTATACAGGACGTCTGTGTTTGTGGTCCAGTCCAGCTTGTTGTTGAGGTGAACACCCAGGAACTTGTAAGAGTCCACTGTCTCAATGTCTTTTTCCTGGATGTTCACCGGTGCTGTTAGGAGTGACTTCCTCCTGAGGTCTATGACCATCTGCTTAGTCTTGTTGGCATTGATTTGGAGAGTGTTGGTCTCACACCAGTCAACAATGTCACTGATGAAACCCCTGTATTCCTCATCATTCCCATCTCATGTACATCCATTGATGGCCATGTCATCCGTGAACTTCTGAAGGTGAAAGTGGTCTGAGTTGTACCTGAAGTCTGARGAGTGGAGAAGGACCAGGTTATGATCTGAGTGACCAAGCAGGGGGACGGGTGATGAGTTGTCAGCCTCTTGGTGATCCAGAGTTTTGTTGTCTCTTGTGTGGCAATCAACATACTGTTTGAAGTTAGTGAGAGTGGAAGAGGGGAGGCAGGATTGAAGTCCCCAGAGATAATAATAAGGGACTGCGGGTGTGCCATCTGTACCTGAGAGACAGTGTGAATGTCCTCATGGGCTGCCGTAGCGTCGGCCGAGGGAGGGATGTAAACAATTAGCACAATCACACGTGAGAACTCACGGGCTAGATGGTATGGCCGAGCGCTAACCATTAGCAGTTCAATGTCTTTGGTACAGTGCTGCTCCTTCACAGTAATGTGTCCAGGGTTATACCATCTCTCAGTAATGCACATCGCCAGTCCCCCCTCCTCCTCTTACCACTCTTCCTCATGCTCCGGTCCGCTCTCACCAGTTGAAAGCCATGCAAAGTTACGACAGAGTCCGGTCGTAATTTTGAAGTGCTATGTGTTTGGAAAGTCATCTAATGGAGGCTGAGTGTCTCCCGAACGTCTTTGATCCTCCTGCTGAAGGAATGCAATGGATCACTGGAGCTCCTCAAACAGAAGCCCTTAGGAAACCTAAAAACATCCACTTTACTGAAGTCTGAAGAGCTCATWAAACTGATTGAAACCCCAGAACCGACATGAGTCACATTTCTGCTTTACTCTAATTGACTTGATATACAATTATATATGTATTGATATCCATACATTATTTTAATCATATTATTGTAAAAGCCTTGATGTWTGTTTAATGTCCAGTGCTGATAAAAAGCAAACAACCAGTTTTAAAAAAGTCCCTAATCTTAATAGTATTTCAGCRATTACTTTAGGACATGTCTTCTCACTAGCTGTGCAGAATAAATAAAAATATTTAAACTCATATTCATGTCTCTAACATGATAAAGCTATTTATATATTTTTGTTGTTTTCTATTACCATTCTTACCATTCATTGCTGTGTTTAAATTAGATTTTTAATAGTAAAATGAGTCAAACTTACCTGATGAGCTGTAGTCTCTGTTCTTTTATTACATAAATATTTTGAATGAACAACTTCTATTAGATTTCCTTTCCTGTGGGTCACAGAAATTTTCTGTGAAAACTCCCCCGCCCTGATTTCAGGTATCTCCTGACYGTGACTCAGAGCTGGTTTGATGTACGTGCACTGGTGTAGTAAACATTGCTTTTGCTTTTCGTGACTGAGTGGGGGGCTGGAGGTGGTCATGTGTGAGGATAAAAGAGCTGGAGCACCAGTGTCTCATTTAACCACGTTAAGGTCAAACCATGGACAGGAACTTTATCTCAGCAGCTCTGATGCTTTTGTTATCAGGTAAATTTATCTTTAGATGTAAATTATATCTTTTTAAAATCCTTTTTTAAATAAGCCCAGTCTTTAAATCAAGTTAAAAGTGTAAGTTGTTTCTTTCCTTTTTGTGTTCTTCAGGTATGTGTGCAGGTGAGGGTATTTTACCCACAGCCCCCCTGAGTGGGGTTGTAGCAGGGACAGTGAAGTTCACCACCAACCTCACCCCCCCACAGACTCCATTTCTGTCCGTCAGTTGGAGCTTCAGAGGTAAGATCATCATCACATCCACGAGCGTCAACATCACCGACCCRGGATACACCAACAGGATCTCACTGGATCGAGCCACCGGAGCCCTGGAGCTTAGAAACCTGGTGCTGGAGGACAGTGGGGACTACACACTCACTGTCATACCTAATGGGGGGCTGCAGGAACTCGGGAAGACCACGCTCAATGTGTATGGTAGGCTTTTTATGTGCAGAGAATTTACCCCCCCCCCCCAAAAAAAAAAGAAGGACAAGTTGGCTTTTGATATTTCATCTTCATAATAATTAATTCATGGAAAATGCATCGACAAATACATATTGATTAGTTGGTCTGATGCCTTTTCCTGACGAGAGAAATAATTTCTTAATGATTTAAGTAAAACTACTACCCACTTAGCAAATAAAACATGACTTTGACTATTTGATCATTACTTTGAAGTAAGTTTAAATGCATTTTAGGTTAAACGATAGTAAAATATAAAAGTAGGTTAGGGAATTTACTTATTTTTTGCATTTTAGGTAATTATTTTTTATGTAGTCTTATACTTGACAAAATGTTAAAATTCTAAAAGCACACAAACAATTATCTTTGCAGTGGATAAATCATGTATTTGGGAAATGCTATGCTATAATGCAAAGATTAAAGGACATTTTAAATTTATGTTGATCAATAAGTAATTTGTTCATGTGTAAAATCTGTTTTTTTATTATTATTTTAGAACTCTACAACCATTTTAACACTTCAGGTATTCTGCTGTAATTTTCACAACAGTACCAATAACTGGAGCCATAATCCGCAGCCCTGCAGCCATCCTGATAGAAGGTCAAAACTCCACCAATCTGAGCTGTGAGGCCTCCGGATCCATCCGCAGCACAAAGTGGATGAAGGATGGTCTTCCTCTTCAGCTCAGTGACAGCGTCAGCTTATCTATGGACAACAGGACGGTGTTCATACAACCTGTCCTCAGCTCCAGCCGAGGCATSTATGAGTGTCGACTCAGCAACCCTGTCAGCATCTCGACGGCGACTCTTAATCTCATTGTCAACTGTAAGTACAATGCACAAACTAGCTGAAAATGGGATGATTTATTGCACTTCTTTAAGATGTCTAATCACATGTCAGAGTTTTATGGATTTAACCTGACATGACTGATTTTTCTGTGCAGATGGACCGTATAACACCTCAGTTATTGGACCATCAGGAGCTTCACTTGGCTACAGAGTGACGCTGCAGTGCACCGCAGCATCTGTTCCACCAGCAAACTTCAGCTGGATGTTCAACGGCAATGAGACAAATGTTAATAATTCCCTGTATGTCATAGAGAAGTTAGAGGTMAGGAACGCTGGGAATTACACCTGCACTGCCAGAAATATGGTGACCATGAAGGAAAACTCTTCAGTTCTGAATCTGAGAGGTGAGAAAGTCCTGATTAGATGTGATTTTTTTTGCTTCTGTTATTTATTTATGTATTTATTTATTTATTTATTTATTTATTTATTGAGGAAAGAATGAGGCTTTTTGACTGAAGCTAACCACTGTTCTTTTTACAACCTGAAGCGTCCTGCAGCGCTCCCTGCTGGTCAGTTTCAGTYTTTGTCCTCTGTGGGTTTTACCTGAGAGGGTTACAGTAAAAACAGCAGGTGAGGGTTTTTTTAATCAGACTGATAATTATTGTTGATAACTCTCAATTATATGTAATGACACTATTTTCTTCRTTTTTCCCTCCTCAGATTCCCTCTCCTTATGATYAAAAGTCAACATAAATACTTTTTTATTAAATATTTTGACTGAGTGGACTGATGCAACAAACCTGAAACACAATGAAAACACTCATATTGGAAAAATAAATCTGCATAGTCTAAAAAAAACAACTTCTCATGCAGGAATACGTTGTTTTAGATAATAAAATGGACTTGCTGGTATCACAGTCTTAMTGTTTAATTGTTGATCTTCTTCTATATGTACAAACACATGTTTATGCTGCACTCAAGCCAATGCCTCCTTTGAAAAAAAATCTATGATCTCAATAGGATTTGCCTGATTAAATAAAGGCTAAATAAATAAACTTGTGTAAATTGTGTCTAAATATTAACTAGTATGTGCAATAACAGTTTGGGTTTGCAGCTGCTTTATGAATCATATAGCTGTAAAGGTTTTTTTGTCATAATAAATGACTAAAAGTCCTTGAGTGAACCAGAGGTCAGGTAAAGTGACTGTAATTATCCACACAGGATTATTTACTGGTAGTTTATATCCAGTTATCAGTTAACAGCCTATGTGATCAGTTATTTTCCTTCTAAACCCGCCTGAATTTCACTTCTGGGTGATACAAAGTTAAAACACTGCTTCATCACCTCTTAAACATTATCGACAGATCAGAACCACAGGACTGGGCCCACATTGGATTTTGTTTTCCTCCAAGTTTTTGTCAAAAATAAAATAACCAAACTTTCCTAAATATAATTTATCAAAGGAATACCCATTTGAATTTGTTCCTTTTGTATGTTTCAGTTTATTCTAAAAATAAAAGTACCTCCTGATAATGAGTGATTCTAATCAAAGTCTGTTTCCTTGTCAAATGCCACAACTCCTTTTTAATGTTTGAAAAAAGTAATTCCAGTCTTCAGTTATTTCCTGCAGTGTGTGGGTGAATGTATTCAACAGACTAACAATGGAAAAAGTATTTAAGTGTGTTTTTCAATCAGTAATACCTCACACAAACCATCACCAAAGCTGTTTGTTAGTTTGTTAGTAGTTTGTTTGTTGCTGTATCTTGGAGAGGAAGAACGTAAGATTCTGAGTTGTGTCTTTATCAGTTCTTCTGACTCACCTCAGATTTACATGCTGGGAACAAGCTGCACAGATTCCTGACCTTCATACTTTATTAGACACCAGAGAGGAGCTGAACCTGAGGCTCTGACTGGTGGAGATAAATAAATGTTACTTCTTAGCCCCGGTTCTTAGCAGCAGCTTTCTTTGTGATGTTTGACTTGTGGTCACAAGTAAAAGGTTGTCATGAGGTCTGCTGCTCTTTACCTCTCTGCTTTCCTCTTTTAACTCGTCTGAGGTGAGACTTATTTCCTGAAAACATGATAAAAAAAATTTGAGATGTGGAAACATTTTCTTTTCTTAGCTTCAGATTGTGTTTTTTACGCATCAATAGAAATTCACAATATCAAGGATACACTCTACTGTTTTTACATAATAAACCCTTATAGTTTGCAATTTTGCCAAGTGATGCTGAATCCAAACACTTGAAAGTTCTAGTTAGCGCTGCAACTGCTACAGCAGATCACACAGTTACYTGGTCAAGACTCACTCCTGCTGTTCTTGGATACAGTATAACTTCACGGCTTTGTCCTGAAGCYGTAGATCTCCTTTATTGAACCATTTGCTTGTGGAGAGGCTCTCTATGATACAGGTCTGAACATTTCTCWCTGCACTGAAGTTAATAACGCACTGCTCAGCTTTGGTTAGGGGGCCAACAGGACCCTCAGACAAAGATTGGTCCATCCTAAAGACAGAACCTCCAAACCCCAAAAAAGTTTGTTTAACTTTGAAACAATATTTAATTAAAACTTAGAAAAATATTTGATCAATGATTAATCCTTGGTTTCCACTTTCTTTTGTTATTTTAGACTTTTTAACCATTTTAGTTCATAGGTTTGAAAAGTTTTAAAGTCTTCTGATCATCTTCATTTCAAAAATAAATAATCATGAGAATGTGCAGTCAGAACAGAGTTTCTGAGCGTACACAACCATCAACACAATAACCACAATGACAGACCTTCAGACAAACAACCACTGTGACCACTGGAAACTCTTAACCTCATTTCGTCAAACTGTTCTGTTGACCTCGTGTGGAAAAAAATAAATAAATAAAAAATAAAAACAGATCTACTTCATCTCAGAAAAATGATTGTCACAAACTTACATTTAGAAAATGCRATTTTTGTATTGAATATTTTGCTAATTAAAAATATATTAGCCAATCACATTGGTTGTTGGAAGATTGAGAGAACTAAAGAATTGTAAGTTGACAAGTCATGTTTAAAAATGATATTTTGACTCTCCCACAAAATATAACAAAAATACAATACCACTATTATTCATTAAGCACTTAAAACAGCGATAAGGCCAATGAAGGTGCTGAAACAATTGTTGGCTTCAGAAGAAACAGAGTTGACCTCAGCCCTGCTCTATATCAGTGGTGGCTGTAGACTGGGTCAGCYCCTCCAGGTGTTATTGTACCCTCACTTATTAGAAAGCTACATTTTATCTTCTACAGATCTGACAGCTCTATGTGGTAAACAAGCTGCACTAAAGCAAATAGAGYGAAACTGCAGCCACTGTCTCCCAAACATCAACAACCCATGCCGCTTCCTCAAAGCGAGAAACATTGTCACGGATATTTTAAAACCAATAAGCCACCAGTTTGACCAGATGTTTTCAGCAGCAGAAACATTAATCAGAACTTACAAACTTAAAAACTGTTTCATTCCTATCGTCATAACTGTGATAAATTTACCATGAATAACTGCATGTTGACAAGACTTGCTTCATTTTTTATGGAGAGCCATTTCATTCAAAAT